CATGATGTGATCCGCTTAACATTTTGATTGCTTACAATACTATTTAAAGTTTAAAATAAATTCAATATTGAATAACAACTGTATATGTTTCAAATTGATTTCCTACTATAAAACAACGTGATCCGCCATTATATATCAAGTGATCCGCCAAGTTATATCAATTGTTTCGCCAACTTATAGTTAATGATCCGCCAAGTTTCATGATGTGATCCGCCTAACATTTTGATTGCTTACAAATACTATTTATAGTTTAAAATAAATTCAATATTGAATAACAACTTTATAAGTTTCAAAGTGATTTTTTTATTAAAAAACAACATGATCCGCCAATATATATATCTAGTGATCCGCCAATATATATAAAGTGATCCGCCAACTTATAATTAATGATCCGCCGAATTTCATGAAGTGATCCGCCTAACATTTTGATTGCTTACAAATACTGTTTATAGTTTAAATAAATTCAATATTGAATAACAACTTTACATGTTTCAAATTGATTTTCCTACTATAAAACAACGTGATCCGCCAATATATATCAAGTGATCCGCCAAGTTATATCAATTGTTTCGCCAACTTATAGTTAATGATCCGCCAAGTTTCATGATGTGATCCGCTTAACATTTTGATTGCTTACAATACTATTTAAAGTTTAAAATAAATTCAATATTGAATAACAACTGTATATGTTTCAAATTGATTTCCTACTATAAAACAACGTGATCCGCCATTATATATCAAGTGATCCGCCAAGTTATATCAATTGTTTCGCCAACTTATAGTTAATGATCCGCCAAGTTTCATGATGTGATCCGCCTAACATTTTGATTGCTTACAAATACTATTTATAGTTTAAAATAAATTCAATATTGAATAACAACTTTATAAGTTTCAAAGTGATTTTTTTATTAAAAAACAACATGATCCGCCAATATATATATCTAGTGATCCGCCAATATATATAAAGTGATCTGCCAACTTATAATTAATGATCCGCCGAATTTCATGAAGTGATCCGCCTAACATTTTGATTGCTTACAAATACTGTTTATAGTTTAAATAAATTCAATATTGAATAACAACTTTACATGTTTCAAATTGATTTTCCTACTATAAAACAACGTGATCCGCCAATATATATCAAGTGATCCGCCAAGTTATATCAATTGTTCCGCCAACTTATAGTAAATGATCCGCCAAGTTTCATGAAGTGATCCGCCTAACATTTGTAATTTATGTCAAGTGATCCGCAAAATTATGTCAAGTGATCCGCAAACTTTAAATGCTCCGCCAAATTTCATGAAGTAAGTAAAAATATCTCTCCGATATTTTTCCCAAAAATATTGCTTAAATAACCTTTTTTTTCCTTACCATTAGTATTAAACAAATATATTATAAGTGTGCTATAAATAGTGCATCGAGCGTTACAAATATCTTTTTTCTAAAACAAAATTAGTAAGATGTTACAATGACATTATTTCCATTTGTACAGCAAAAATTATTATTATTAGCACCACAAACGTAATATATTAAAACTAAATAGAAATAACATTATAACTAACCTTTTTTTAATAATACCAGTAAACAAAGTAACTCTTGGCTTAATTGTTTGAATAGGATTTCATGTCATAAACTGTTACCTTATGATCAATAAAGTAAATATCAAAACTCGATAATTTACTAAATTTAAACCATATTTCAACAGTAGGCACACTAAACCAAAATTATGATGCAAGGTAGAAGAGCGAGGTAGAACTAAAGAAATGAAAAAATAATATCATATAAAGTAGACATGTAATTTCTATATAATCAATAAAAGATATTTCTACCAGCTTGAAATGACTAAAGCAAAATTTATAGTATATATATACATGTATATATATATATATATATATATATATATATATATATATATATATATATATATATATATATATATATATATATATATATACACACACACACATATATACATACATATACACATACGCGTACACACACATATATTAGGAGTTTGTTTAATAAAATAATACATGCTGGACTAATAAATATCATATATTATTCAGAGTTCAAAATGTGCATAAAGTAAAGAAAAATGAAAATATATCTAGAAGTTACAAATAAATCAATTCCTAGTTTATAACAATAGCATAAAACAGAAATCATAGCGTGTTTCATCTTAAAGGCAAAATATTATTTTCTTTTTTAACCATACTGCAATCAGTCTCTCTATTGTTAGCAAGGTCTTTGAATCTTTAAATAACAAACTTCTTATTGGCAACACTATTACAGAGTCTTCTGTGTTATACATCTTAAGATTATTTTTTTGTTTTTTATGTTTTATATATTTTTAATGTTTGAGTGTTTTAATGTTTAAAGTTTGAGTACAATCCATTACAAAGTTAGCACAATATACAGTTGTCTCTCTTCATTCTGCTTGCCATTTCAATACTACTTGTTCTATTTGCTACTTCCATTTTCTACCTATTTAAATCTATTATTCATCCCTGATAGGAATACTTTTGTCACATTTGGGCTGGTTCTTCTAATGGTACTATTTCTCTTCTCAACAAGATCCAAAAACATTTTGCAAATGTTGAACATGTATAGCTCCAAAGCTTGAGCCTCTGTGCCATTATCATAAAATTGTATTTTTTTTTTTTACAAATACTATTACAGTTGATTTTCAAACAAGGTTTTATATCTAGTTATTTCAACCAATAATGACTCACGAAAGATCAATCATATCACCTAACTCATCATTCAGGAAAGCTGTACCCTTTCACATTTATCATCATATATAACTCTAAATACTACTTTAACTCTAAACACTATTCTAACTCTAAACACCATTTTTACTCTAAACACTATTCTAACTCTAAACACTATTCTAACTTTAAACACCATTCTTACTCTAAACACCATTCTTACTCTAAACACCATTCTTACTCTAAACATCATTCTTTCTCTAAACACCATTCTTACTCTAAACACCATTCTTACTCTAAACATCATTCTTACTCTAAACACCATTCTTACTCTAAACATCATTCTTACTCTAAACATCATTCTTACTCTAAACACCATTCTTACTCTAAACACCATTCTTACTCTAAACATCATTCTTACTCTAAACACCATTCTTACTCTTAACACCATTCTTACTCTAAACATTATTTTAACTCTAAAAACTATTTTAACTCTACATACACACTAACTTTAAATACTATTTTATCTGTAGACACTATTCTAACTTTAAATTTTATAAGTTTTATCTAGTTACTTTAATATATTAAAATATTCATTTAAAAGAATAGCTGAAAAAATATGAAAAAGTTTTCTACACACATCTAATGCACTTGTAAATCTTGCGTAGGCTTGTTTTGTACTCTGTAAACATTGCATCGGACAGACCTACACAAGTGGAATGAAACCACTCTTTACAAATCAAACACTGGATCATTGAGTCTGTTGATTTAAAAATACTGCGACACCCACAATACAAAGAGTAGCTTGAGGTACGAACTATATTTTTTCTAACAGTTCTATAGCTATCTACAGGAAACTGTGTTATTCTGTAATTTTCGAGGCATGTCAGCAAATGTTGTCGCATCAAACCCTCACTATATCTAAAGTTACAAGGATCTTTGCCTAAACACAAAGAAACACAGTTTGCTATTGCATAAAACCCACACAAAAGATCTTTTTGACGAGCTACATTGTTTATGTTAAGCTCTATTTCAACAGACTGTAAACAGGCAAATTTAGAAATTGAATAAATGCATTCTTTACTTGGAATGAGTTGAAGACTACAATATATGTCGATTTGACTATCTTTACAATAGTGGTTAGAGGCAGTTATCCAATGTCCTTTTGTTGGATCATTAAAAATTTGAACAAAAGCTCCGGTGGAAGCATTACATTGACCAGCAAAGCACAGAATTGGATCTTCGAGACCTTTAATATCTGGAAATTGACGCTTACACAATATCATTGAGGCATAAATAACTTTATCATTAAGAAGACCCATTGGATTTATAATAAGGCTTCGATCAGCATTGGTAAGATTTAGATTTTCAAATTGAAGCCATGTCTGCGCATCTGCTGGAACCACCAAATTTGTATCATCACAAATTAAAATAGGTATTTCTAGTGTAGTTGGCTTCATATCTGAATGCACAACTAATGATGAAAATGAAAAATTCAATAGAGAATCTCCAGGCGTTTGGACATAGTTGTCAGCAAATTTCACTTGTTTTTGCATCCTTTTAACACATAAAATTATACATTACTTACAGTATAATAGAAGATAAACAAGCATGGATAACATCTAAAAATTTAAAATGCAAACAAATAAAGTTAATTACATTTCATGTTGAGGTAACAGAATCTCTGTACTTGTACTTGCTGCAGACAAAAGGTTATCAATATGGGAAGTTTGAGATGCTGAATCAACACTTTGATTCATGCTCAAATCATTCAAAACTTTTATGTCAAGATTGACAGTTGCATCTGGTGCAGGGATAAAACTTATATCACCTTTTCTTGGCTTCTTACAGCCTGATTTCTTGTCACCTTTTTTACTAAAAATAATAAAAATTCTAAAAACTGACATTTACAGTGTAGACTAGATGTTTTCTTATTGCATCCTCTGTTCTGTGATGCATAACAGGAAACATCTTAGTCTAATATTTGAGAATTTAAGTTGCCTCTTCCGGCATATTTATATACATACATACATACATACATACATACATACATATATATATATATATATATATATATATATATATATATATATATATATATATATATATATATATGTGTATATGTCTGTATGTATATGTATATATGTCTTTTTGTATATGTATATATATATATATATATGTTTGTATACATAAAGAAATTATGTAACAATAAGTTTAAAAATAAAACAAATATATAATACATTAAACATAATATCAGCGTTCCAGGTTATAACCTCGACAAATGTTGTAATTTTGATGAGGTCGCTAAAAATCCATATTAAGATAATATTAAGAAGAACCTTGATCACTTACTTATATAATAAAGTTATATATTAAGATAAATCACATTTGTTTGAAACATATATAACCCAGAATGCTACTAAGGATTAGAATTTATATTCGATCTGTACATTTTTGAACAATTAGCACTGTACTCTGAGTTGCCAAATATTTAAAATTTATTTAACTTTTTTACCTAACTCACCAGACCTTATTTATAACCCCTTCATGTTTATTAATTTTGTAGATTCTTAGCTTATTTTCCTAAAAAGTTTCCCCAAATATTAATATTTTCCCTAGTTTATTAGGCACCCCAGAGTAATTTGATGTACCATGAGTTACGCCGCAATTTGGTCAAATTTATGATTTTGCGTTCACCACATTCAATTCCAATGCTGCGTTTAACAGCTAGTATGTGACAACATATTGTTGATGAAGGACATGTGCAGTTTTCCTTCGGATACAACTTCACAACATGCGCATTTCCATCAGGTGCAGAGACTGTAAAAACCTTTAGGTTTGGAATATGAACAACATTAAACGTGTTAGAAAGCACTCGTATAGATGGAGGTATGCATTGCTGCATTGGTATATTTGCAGCTGCTTGCAGCTCTGCAATAACAAGTTCTGGACTATCTACTTTTGGTATGTCGTCTGTGTTATCTAAAACATTTTAATTTTCAATTTAAAACATCATTACTAACTAGTGAGTATATAGCATTTTTGTAAATATTTTCTAAATAATTCTAAAATCAAATAAAAAAGAATTAAAAAAGGTTTTTAAACAAACAAGTTATTACATATTAAATGTGACATACTGATTAGGAGACTGCTGTCAAAGAGAGTGTAGGGTCCAAAGCCACTACAACTCCGCTTAATTTCTGTCAAATAAAAGGTCTGAAGGCGATGCATTGCAACAATCATAGAATCAACAGGCGCTTCTTTCCATTCTTGAAACTTTTTTATAAATGCATTTAATGATTCAGATACATTATTTGTAACTATATTATCCATTAAACCAACAGATCTGAGATGACCAATATAAGCTATTAAAATACGTGAATACAAGTAGTCTGAAAAATACACTGAGAATGCCTCACTCCAAGAAAGCCTTAATGTATCAATTTTAACTTTTAGATTTAAAGTCTCCTAAATTAAATGTTGTGTCATATGAAAAGAAAATTTGAGGGCACATCACAAGTTCATCGATTAAATTTTGCATTCCAAACAACACTGACAAGTCTGGATACGTGGATATGGACCAGACAAAACCTGGTATCATATATGCCAGTTCATGAATTGTTAAAAAAGATTCAGTGCCTAGTTTAGTACATTCTGCTTTGACACTACGCACATACTTCAACTGTCTTGAGTTTCTAGGCTGAAATTGGATCTGGTTATGCTTGGTATCAACAAGAAGATCCTTGTAGTTGTCAGAATCAATAATTGCATCTCGCAAAGATGGAGCTGTTGGTAAAAAACTTATTGATTTTCTGCAATTTCCTGGAATATATATAAAAAATACATTGTAAAAAAAAATATTATAAAGAATTAATATTATATACTATTTTTACTTAGTAATTAATTTAAAAGTATACAGTAATTAATGTTATACAGTACTTTTTCAAAAAAATTAATAGTAATTAAAAAATTTTTTGGGCTTTTAAAACTCACTAGGGTAACTTATATTAGGATTTTCCATCTCTTAGGAGTTGTCTTTATAATGGCCTCACAAGTACTATTTTATTTAGAGTATATACAACTTTATATACTCAGTTATATAGATAAGACATTCATCTTTAATAGTTCTAAAATTAAAATAACAATCAGTAATAAAATGTGATAAAATCTATACCATGAGGCATTAAGATTGCAAGTTCATGGTTTCCTATATAATGGACAACAACAACATCTGTCCGACTTAGATCACGGTATACAAATTTCTGAAAAACACATGAAGTTCCTGTTGGTGTAACTGTAGCAAAGTGGAGTTTTGTGTACAGTGGTAAACCACGAGGAATTTTACTGCGTCCATTTTGCTTCCACCTATACCCATCTGCTCGCCAATCATCTAAAAATAAAGGCTCCAACTTATGCAAATAGTAAAAATATTCTACAAATATTTCTGATTTTTTTTAATCAAAAACTTAAAATTAAAAAAAGAAAAAATTTTCAATAAAAAAAGTTCATGCTATTTTCTGTACAATAAGTTATATCAGTGTTGTTTATCTTTGACTTTAGTTGTGAACTGCAATGAATTAATCCTTCAATATGGATCCAATACATTTGGGATATATATATATATATATATATATATATATTGTTTTTTTTTGTTTATATTGATAATAAACTAGTTTAATTTTTAAACATATTTTACAACTTAAATTTTGAATTTCCTCTTCTCAAATTCTTCATCAAAAGTGGAAAACTGTTATACAATTTAACTCCTTTGCGAAATACTGAATACCGTCCAATATGATTGTGTTGAGGAATATGATATTCTTAGATACTCTGGTGTAATTACTATGCATATCCTTATTTTTAACCCAAATTTTTTTTAGTACAGACATATTTTCTAATTTAATAGTATTATTTATTATTAGAACTTTTACTGTAATAATTTATTTGATTGTTAGCCAATTCAACTCTTTAAGGCTTAATGATATATAGTGTTGATATGCTTAATTTAAGCATATCAACACTATGTGTAAACCAATTAAATTTAAAGATAGATTTTATTGCTCTATTTTGCAGCAACTGAAAGATATGAAGATTCTCTTCATTTTTTTCTAATAAAAGAGAGGCATAGTACTGCTAGTGTAGTGCATTTATTTTTATGAAATTTAGTATTTTAGTCTTTTTAGACTAAAAGGATTAAAATACTGGTTTTACTACTAAAATTTAGTAGTACATATAGATATTTTACACAGATTGTTTTTTTAGATATTTTATTTTGCTATATAATAAATATGTTCTTTAAAATTCAATAGATCATCCAATACCACACCCAGATATATAACGTTTGTACAGAATTTAAGTGCAGTACCATCCAAATTTAAATAAATTTTATTGTTAATTCTAGTGGTATGAATTTTCTTTATTCCAGAATTAGTCTTATCCTTCTCAGAATGTTAACTTTACTTAGTAGGCATAATTCTTTATATAAAAAAATACTACTAGTGGTAGTAAACTAGTATAGTACAAACCTTTCCCATTATTCACTTGGACGACATAAACTTCACCGGCCTTGGGATTGTTAAGAGCAGTTGCTCTAATTTCATCATCACTCTTGGTAATAAGATCTTTAATAACCTCAATGTTGAGATGATTTAAACTGATCAAAGCTGGAATAGCCATTTTTTCTTAAACCACGTTTGCTGAAGATGAATTCGTTTGAAGAAATTCACGAGTAACAATGCTGAATAAACAAATGATCCGCCCCGCCGATCCGCCCCGCCCCGCCGATTGTACCTACCCAAGAAACTGAATATTAGAAAGAAGAAATTAAAACACAGGTACTTATAACACTTCAAAATTGTATCAATCAAACATTGTGTTAAACTGAGTAATCTAGATAAAACTTAGAAAGTCTAGCAAGAAACAGCGATAACCAAGTTAAAATAATTTGAAATGCAATTTTTAGGCTTGTTTAAAGCATATTTGAAGGTGTTGATTAATAGTATTACTAACTATAGAGACAAAAACTTTTAATGCTTCAATAAGATTTAAACTATAAAAATTATCATCATTACTTGCTTGCAAAATTGTGTAATTATAAAAGTTATTTTAAAAACATGTCTTGTCATACACAGTGCATTAATAAAATCAAAATTTGTTATTAATTTTAGTGGAAGAAGCAGTAGCAGGGGCTGCACCATTATTGAAATTCTTTGAGACAAAAAACCACAGGTATAAAAAACTTTCGTAAAGTATCCATGCCACAATTTCACATTTCATAACACCCAAAGAAAAATCAGTAATAGCTTTTATTAAAATATTAAGTAAACGAGTTTTTATTTTATGCGGTTCATCATAGTTCCTATTACGATTATCATGATTCTCATAAAGGATAAACAATATGGCTAATTAAAATTTATACTTAATAAGTCTAAAATCTTCTTCTTGATTATTAAAGAAAACCAAATACTAGTTTTTATCGATGCAACTATAAACAGCATCTACTTGTAACAACTCTCTGTCTTCCTTTCTTGTATCAAAAGGATATCGTGATATCAAAATTTCTACACAATTAATATAATATTTGTTCGCCTAACTTTATAGGAAATGATGCTTTTCTTTAACATACTAACTTTTTTTTTTTTTTTTTTTTTTTTAACTTTTTCTTTAAAATGCTATTTTAGCTTGCGAATTAAGCGACATTTTGAAGTAATCATCGGCCATGTTATAAGTTTAATAAAATTAATTAATTTAATAAAACACAAATTAAGCAGGGTGTATAGCAAAAGGAAAGTCCGAAATTTTTTTTCTACATTTGAAACCTTTTTTCTCCTTATTTATTACTTCAAATGCAAGTTATTAAAATGATACACAGTCTAGTGTAATAAAACTGGGGATGTCCATTGATATATTTTAGTATATACTTGTTGTTACTAACTAATTTTACCTCCTGGTTGTAGTTAAACAATAAAACTTGATAAAAATTTTACTCAGGGTGTATATCAAAAGGATTATTTTAATTATTTTTAAACCAATGAAACAAAAAAATTTAAATAATAAAGTTTTATATAACAAAATAAAATAAGGTATTTTAATTCAAGTTTCTAATTAAATTATTCAACTCAAAAGTTAGTTTAACCTCCATCAAAATATTGTAATTATTATTTTTTAACAATCGCAAAATTATGAAACCGATATAATATTTTCCGGTTTTTTAATATTTTGGAATTTGAACCGTTTTCCGGTTTTTAATTTTTTTCCAACCCTTTCAGATAATTAACCGTGCATAATTTGTTTAGTTTTAGCTGTAGTATGGTTTTAATAGTTACATATAGTAAGATTTTTTTCAACAATATAATCAAGTTAAAAATCTTTTATTTAATTTTTTTGGGTACGTTCAACGACGTAGCAGACATCCCCTAGACACACCCCTGAAAGGTATACCTTTCACTACACCATATAAATTAGTGCTCTTAAAGCATATTTCCACCTTTCCCCTTCATATTCATGGAGGTCACAAAATTGTTGGAAAATATTCTAAATTTTAATAGATAAGAGAACTGATATTAATTGTGCGAGAACTAATATTAATTTTTTTTTTTAATTTAAATTGAACTCATAATCAAACAATTTTTTTGCTAAATAATTTAATCCTTAAAATTCCTTAATAATTACCTCAGCATTTTAAAGATATTCCATCAATTGCAATTGATTCACCTAAAAAAAAAAAAAACAAGTAAAGCTAATATTATTGATTGAAATTTTAATTATCTTTATACAAATACTCATCATATTTTTAAAGTGACTGATAAAAATGGATTTAATTAAAATCACTTCATTTGTATTAAAAAATTAATATTAAAGCCTTAATCATACATTATACAAGAGTATTTTGTAATACAATCTAAATAGTTGTTGCGAAATGTAATTTTTTTATCCAAAATTTAGCTTCTGTAAGCTTTAGAAATTTTTTAAAGAAATTATTGATGAATTTGGAGCTACGGGTACTAATGTTTTTATATTGTTGTAATGTTTGTATTCATTCCCTGTTAGTTTCTGTAAGTCAAAATTTTAAGGTGTTTCCATAATAAATTCTATTATATCTGAAATTTAGTGTTAGTCTGAATAATTTAATTTCTAAAATCTGTTTTGCATTGCCTGTCTTTTTAACATCTTTACTTGGAACAAAAACCATGTGGTTTAAAAGTGAGCTAGAAGCTTTCAACAATGAAGAAAATATTGCATTCACTAATCCTAAAAATATATTCAACCTGTCAGCAAAATCAGCTGTCAATAATCCAAGTATTAGCATCATTAAAAATTCATCTTTGCTGTATTACATTTATTTTGGTCCAAGTAGTTAAGGATTTTTTTAAATTTCAAAAAACAGATGTAAATGTTTTTTTAATATCACTTTATCTCTTTTGATTAATGGTGATACTGCACTAACTGATGAAATACATTGACAGATGTATGGCCAGTATAAAAGTCGCAAGAACTATTATTTTTAAAATAAATGTTTGTATACAAGTAAATTGCAATAACACGATTTGTTTGGATTATGTTTATATACAAGTTTGTCTGTTTTCATAGTAATAACTGATGTGGTTGAAGTTAATTTTTCATATTAATCTTTATTTTTTTATTTCGTGCTGAAGTTTTTTTTTAAAGTTATCAGTTTCCTTTTTTAATTTTTGATGCTCTATTAAAAAACAACGCTTAGCGTTAAATTCAACATAATTTAATGGATCATTTTTTGAAAAAGTTGTATTATATTTACATTTAATAATATCAGTCTTTGAGCATTGTAGCCTAAGTTAAACGAAAAATATCGATTTTTAAACGATAATGTTCTTTCAGGAAAATCGTCTTAACATGTTTTCGATCTCTTGAAAATTCTATATGATATAAGTTCAGTATTTACATTTTTTTTCCACTATAACTTTAACCGTTGAAATAATGTTTACGATTTTACTTCCATTTCTGCGCGCGCATAAATTTTATATCGTATTTTTTGTCAACAATGATTGAAATAATGACGTTGAAATAACGTTAAATAATCAACGTTTAAAATGTAACGTTGATTTAACGTTGAAATAACGTTAAATAATCAACGTTTAAACGGTAACGTTGATTTAACGTTGTGACATAGTTGAACAACGTTGAAACAACGCTTCAACCGAATTTCAACGTTGAAACAACGTAATAATGCCGGCAGGGTAGCATCTTTTGACCAAGATCACAATATAAAACGGTAAAAAATTCTGTATTCAAAAAAGGGAGGTCCGAAAAGGGGTAAAAACGGATAGAATCAAAGCTAAAATCCTTCTAAATACAGTTTTTGTTAATAAAGACCAGCCACTAGGTCTTGAGTTGTATATTTTACAGATTACTGGTTAATTTTTGATGTTCTAAGTCATGGTTTAAAAAATTCCTACGGATGAGACTCCCTCAGACTTTTTGGATACAATGAATTCCAAAACTTTTAAAATCTTTCAAAGTTGCTAACAACTCCTCAGAATTCACAGTAAAACTGTAATCTATTAAGCATAGTTTAAGAAATTAATTTCTCAAAACATGAAATATATTTATTGTTTGCTTAGAGAGTTGCTTTAGGAGCTACTTCAAATAAAGAGTTCTTGTAAAAAACCATTAAAAAAAGACGACGAGTGGATTCAAGGAGCTAGCTACGACGACGGCTTTCTAGTTATTGAATGGTTCTAATAAATTGATTTTGATTCGATATCTAACTGCAAACTCTGAACCTTAAAACTACATTATAAATTATTTTTTACATATTTTCTTCAGATATTTGTCTTAAGCTAAAAATTTATATGTATAAAAATATTTATTGCACATTTGCAGCGTTTAAACGCTGAATTCTGAAGCAAATTTGCATCAGAAACAAGAGATCTGTGGCAGTGACAGAACCATCATTTTTTGGTTTTTAAGATAGCTAACATGGAGCGTAATCCAAACTTTTTTATGTTTATACTTATGCTAAATAATGATGCTTTTTAAAACGTTGCAACGATTGGAGGCTGGGAACAAAAATAGCCCTAAAATTTATCTCCCGAGCCCCAAACGTGAACGCAACAAGTTAATGAAATAAATAGTAATTTTGTACAATCAGAAGTAAAAGCATCACGCAGTATAGGTCCTGCGTGTCAATCTAGTCGCTGTGAAAAAGCAAAGAATCGTTTTTGTCAAAGCTTCGACGAGGAAAAATTTTCTCAACTTTTTAGGGTAAAATGGACTGGGGAATGAAGCGAACGTATATTGCGGCTCTCGTAGAATCGATGGAGCCAAAGCAAAAGACAGCCGAGACAATGCGCCGTAACTCAACTCTAAAGTAATTTTTAAAAAAAGAAAGAAGATTTCAAGTTTGCAAGAAAATGTTTCTTGCCACATTAGGAATGTGCAAGTGGCAGGTTTGTGACTGAGCGCAGCCCAGTCTAGATGGTAGTGATATACACGAAACCCTCAATACAAAAGCTGTACCAAAGAGAAATTGTGGTAATACTCCAGCTGATAATGAGAGGAAAATATTTCTACTGACTTTTTTGAAAAATCTTTCCACTCTTCCATCTCACTACTGTAGAGCTACGACTAATAAACTCTTTCTTAAACCACCAATAATGTCTACGAGGGTCTTGTATCGTTTATACGAAGAGTCATTTAAATCAAATTCTCCCCAACTGAAACCACTCTCGAGAACAAATATTGCAGCTGAATTTGAAGCTCTTATCTTAATAATTTACCGTCCCAAAAAAGATCAATATGACACATGCACGTCACATAAATTAGGTCATATTTCAGATGAAGTATACAATGTTCATCAGCAACGTAAGGAAGAAGCTCGAAGTCAAAAAGCCGCAGGTAAAGCTGACTCCATTGCACATCCAGATATCTTGCAGTGTGCACTATGGACGTCCAAGCTGTCAAAATGGCTCCATTTCTTAAAGCCAGTGCAGTCTACTACAAAACAAAATTATGCGTTCATAATTTTACAATTTACAATGAGGCTAATGGTAACGTCACATGCTACTTATGGAATGAAAGCGAAGGAGGTTTAGACGGAGACGTATTTGCGAGTATGATATCGGACCATGTGACAGCATTTATCAACTCAAACCCTACATGTACGAGTTTGGTTCGGTACAGCGATGGTTGCTGTTATCAAAACCGAAGGAATTCAGAAATACAAGTTATTGTATTCAGATTAATGGCAACCACTGCTTAAGAGACAAGCACGTGGTCATTTTCTTCCAACTAGACTTTACTTGCAGCCACGTAAACTTTCAAAGATGAAATTTATTCATCTCTAGGAACTCAAACAAGTTCTGCTCTCATATTGTTGGGAGTTTTATGACAATCTTCTGCATAATTAATTGAGTATTACGACTTATAATATTAGTTGAGATTACTTTAATTAATGAAGATTAATCAACTGTATTAGAATATTTGTTGATGAGATTGATATTTATTTTCGAGAAATTTTTTATGAGAAATTTGAGCGAGATATTTTTTGAATATTTTTAAATGAGATTGATAATTATTGTTTAATTATCATGATAATTATTGTGTCAACAATCATAAATGTTTTTGTTATCGTAAAATGTCACGTATAAA